AGATGAGGCAAAGCAGTGGCAAAGCACTCAAACTCCTCCTACCTGTCCTCAAGGACGTCCGTGCCAAGAGCACACTCACCCCAAACGGACGGAGGACAGACAGACTCAGACTCAGCAACAAGGCTAGCGGCGTAGTTGAGACGACAGGCTGTAGCAAAGTCAACTAGCTCAGCGACTAGCGCAGACGCAGCAGTGGACTCAAAAGTGGGGTCAGTGAAAACAGTGGCCAGGAGACGTGTGACAGTAGGACTGGCAGCACGACGGGAGTCAGACTCCGGGTCAGCAAGAGCAGGAAGAGAGGACGCAGGAGGAGACGGCAGAGGGACACGCTGTGGAGTAGTGGACGGACGCAGAGTCACGTAGTGATTGCCAGGGACAGGAGGAGGACGCTCACGCGGAGCACGACGACCAGGGCGAACACCACAGGCAGGCGACTCTGGACGAGACTCAGGCGACACAGGACGAGACTCGGGCTCACGACGCTCGGTAAGACCTCCAGTCGGACCAGTGTAAGGAGTAGGACGAGGAAGAGGGGAGGCAGATGGTAACTGTGACTGGACAGACGGAGGACACGCTAAGGAGGGAGGAGGACAAAGAGGAGGAGGCTGACCAAGAACCTGCTGAAGGAGCGGAACAAAGTACGGCCGCAGCCGCGCATTGTCTCCAGAACCAGCAGGGACACCAGCACCAGGGTCCGCAGCACCAGCCGCAGCTCCAGCTCCAGGGTCCTCAGCACCAGCAACAGCTTCAACGCCCGGGTCTGCAGCACCAGCCGCAGCTCCAACGTCCGGGTCCACAGCACCAGCAGTAGCTCAGGAGGTCGACGGTGAGGGTGGTGGGACAGACTGCGAGAAAGTGGTCCCTGACGACGCGAAGGGAGTCAGGGAGGCGCGCGACTACGTAGTAGAGAGCGATGTACATGGGGGGGGGGTTCTTAGCGCAGAACTCAGCAGGAAGGGCGGCGCGGTAGCGAGTGTCACTAGTGCGGAGGTGCGTAATGAGGTCAGCGACAGTGGGAAAGGCAGAGAGGTCAGGAAAGAGGTAGGGAAGCATGAGACGGCTCAGTGCAGCAGTGGCAGGGGAGGAGTAGCGCGCAACTACAGCGTCGTACAAGGTCTGAGCACTCTTGTACTGACTAAAGTGCGCACGCTCAGAGGTAGGGAGGTGGCGACGCACAGCAAGACGTGCAGCAGCATCGCGGGTGGCCCACTTAGAGCGGACAGCGGGATCAGCATCAGCAGCAGGAGCAGGAGAGGCGCCAGAGGTGAGGTCAAAGAGAGAAAGGTCGTCAGCCCTGTCGCACTGTAAGAACAGCTGCAGGTCGTCTAACCAGACCTCAAAATCAATGGCGCGACCCTCAGCGTCAAAAGCTAGGACACTAGGGGTAGCCATGGCGACGACAGCGACGCAGTGCAAGCAGTAGGGAAAGAGCTCGCAGTGGCAGTGGGACTGTGCTCACCAGGCAGGGCAGGTCGAGTAGGTATGCAGAAAGGCGGCTCAGCGACCTGGCGGCTCGAGTGCTGGGCGGCTCGGGCGCAGGGCGGCTCGGCTCCCGGGCGGCTCGGCGGTAGGGTAGCTCGGGGGCAAGGCGGCTCGGCTCCTGGGCGGCTCGGCGACAGGGCGGCTCGGGTGCAGGGCGGCTCGGCTCCCGGGCGGCTCGGCTGCAGGGCGGCTCGGCTCCCGGTAGTAGGGGGGGGGGGGGGGGGGGGGGGGGGGGCCGCGGTCGAGCAGGCGGCCGGGGCGCGGGTAGTAGCGGGCGGCGAGGCCGTGCGAGCAGGCAGCCGGGGGCCGCGACAGGAGCGGGCGGCGGTTTGCCGCCGGCAGCGGTCGAACAGGCGGCAGGGGCCGCGGTCGTTAGCAGGCGGCCGGGGCCGCGATCGTAGTGGGGCGGCGGCCGCGGCGTAGCGGGCTGCAGGGCCGCGTCGAGCAGGCGGCTGGGGGCCGCGACAGGAGCGGGCGGCGGGGCCGCGGTTTCTAACAGGCGGCTGGGGCCGCGGTCGTAGCAGGCGGCCGGGGCCGCGGTCGTAGCAGGCGGCGGCCGCGGCGTAGCGGGCGGCAGGGCCGCGTGAAGCAGGCGGCTGGGGGGCCGCGTCGAGCAGCGGCTGGGGGCCGCGACAGGAGCGGGCGGCGGGGCCGCGGTTCGAACAGGCGGCCTGGGGGCCGCTGGTCGTAGCAGGCGGCCGGGGGCCGCGGTCGTAGTAGGCGGCAGCCGCGGCGTAGCGGGCGGCAGGGCCGCGTCGAGCGGGCGGCTGGGGGCCGCGTCGAGCAGGCGGCTGGGGGGGCCGCGTCGAGCAGGCGGCTGGGGCCGCGATCGTAGCGGGCGGCTGGGGCCGCGACTTAGCGGGCGGCTGGGCCGCGTGTGGGAGGGAGGCGACACGGAGGGTCGCTCGATAGCGGAAAAAAAAGTTGAGCGCGCCTCGGGGCGCGCTTCGGTGGGCCCTAGGCAGAGTTCCACAGGGAACCCGCTCTATACCATGTGAAATGAATAAGCAGGAATGAGAATGACTAAGGAAAGATTGGGTACAAATACAACCCTAGAAACCCTGTACCCCATATGTGCTACCCCACTATAGCCTACAGCAACTATGTCATATAAATCTGACACGGATCACCCGGGACAGAGCATAGCGCACCATTACCTTGACTCAGTCACACATGGTGCAGCAGGTCCTTCAGCGCTTCCGCTTCACGTACTCCTCGCCACAGTCCACTCCTCTGCCTACCGGTCACTCGCTCTCAGCTCCACCTTCGGACGAGTCCGTAGAGCCGAGTGGCCCGTATTCAGAGCTTGTGGGATGCCTCATGTACCTGATGACCTGCACTCGACCTGACCTAGCCTACCCTCTCAGCATCCTAGCACGCTATGTCGCTCCTGGCCAACACAGGAAGGAGCAAATGGATGCTGCTAAGAGGGTGTTGCGCTACTTGTGCAGTACGTCGAGCATGGGGCTCGTGCTTGGAGGACGGGCTCGAGTTGTCCTCACTGGTCACGGAAACGCTTCTTGGGCTGACGACTTGGCTACGCAGCGGTCGTCACAGGGTTACACCTTCAGCCTTGGCACCGGCTCTGTTTCTTGGCGGTCTACCCGCTCGTCTTCTGTTCTCAGCTCCAGTTGCGAGGATGAGATATACGCAGGGGCCATGGCTGCACAAGAGTTACGCTGGCTCACCTACCTGCTGACTGACCTTGGAGAGCCGCCTCGTTCTCCTCCAGTGCTGTACGTCGACAACAAGGCCATGATTGCCTTGTGTCAGGAGCACAGACTGGTGCACAGAACGAAGCACATCGCTCTGCGCTACTTCCTTACTCGAGAGTTGTAGCAGCGTGGTCAGCTTCGTCTTGCTTACGTGGCCACTCAGGCCAACACTGCTGATGTGTTCACCAAGGCACTTCAGCCTTGTGATCATCAGCGTTTTTGTACGGTTCTAGGCCTTGTGCCTACTGTGCCTCACTTGCTTACTTCCTGACTCTGCTTGTACTGTGATCCTTATATATGTCTACCTGCATGTTTACACTTGCTAGGTTGTGATCACTGTATTTCTTGTTGTGTTATCAACCTGCATGTGAATTGGTCTTGTGACCACTTGCTTGTGCTCGGAATTTGTGTGGTATCCTTGAGATCCACCCTGAGCTGTGCTTTGCTTTGCTTTGTTTTGAGTGGTCCTGTGACCATCTGGGTGTCTCCCACTTAGCCGATGGGGTTGTGTCAAACATTGTACATGTTTCTGTTCTGTAGGCTATAGTGGGTTTAGCCTTAGGGGGTACAACTCTCTAGGTTTTCCTACTTGTACTCCCAATGTTGTTAGTTCAATCACTTCTCTCATTCTGACACAAACGTGTGTTCTTCTCGTGTACAGTAGAGATCTGAGACCTTTGCGATGGTTACGATCGGCACCGGGCCACGTTACTGAAGCCGGATTTGGTCATAAGCTACATCGTCAAACTGGGTAACCTACAAAATTTGGCCGCGAATCGGGTTTTACTAAATAAAGTCGAACTTCGAAAGTCGAACTGTGTTGTGCCCGTGCTTGATATGAAATGTGATGCTGAGATTTACCCTCCAAAAGTTGATATGGCCAACCACAGGTCGGCCAATGTTCAAATGGGTAAATTCGAATAATAAACATGAACTTTACAATAAATTCCAAAAGACACGCGCATTTGATAGCCATCATGTCCACGAATATATGCATTGCTCCCTGGATTTTACCCTGATATATCAAATACGCACCTGCGTTTATATGTGGAAAATCACGGTATGCTTCATAAATGAGGGTAATCTAGACACACCAAAAACTAGGAGCATAGTAATTGCTGCTGTTACTTGCTTCATCCTCATGACAAAAGCCATGGTTCACAAAAGCAGAAGTTTGTACAGTCCCCTTATTGTTAAAGGTGCACTGGAGATCCCAGATCGATCCTAGTGAAGGCTTACATGCACGTTGGCCTGGGGGGTTATGGGTGCACTCACCCGCTACACAAAAAAAACCATTTTATCCCAGTGGTTAGTGGCTGGGATTCTGACACGGTATCCTAGCGAAGGTCTCGAGTTCGAATCCCAGTGTGCACCTAGGGCATCCCAGTGCGGGGGGTGTCAATTGTGCAATGGAGATTCCCGATTGATCCTAGGGAAGGTTTACAGGCAAGTTGGCCTGGGGGGTTATGGGCGCACTCACCCGCTACACAAAAAAAACATTTTATCCCAGTGGTTAGTGGCTGGGATTCTGATACTTATCTCCACGTTATGCCCGCCTTATGTGACATCCACCGCGTCTTCTCCCTCTACGCACACTTATTCTGTGATATGTCTCTACTCGTCTTGAGAGCCAACAATTTTGTGAGTGCTCCTATGGCTTAGCTGAAATGGGAACACAAATATCAGGGAGTAATAAAAAGTGGCCAGAAATCGGCAAGCGAGGCCGAGATATAAATGATTGGGGGGAATGAAAGGAATGCAAAGGGAAAAGGAGGCTTAATAAGTGTTGGGCTTGCAGCAGGTATGAGTGAAAGGCTTGCAACAGGTATGAGTGATGGGCTTGCAGAAAGTATTGGTGATGGGCTTGCAGCAGGTATGAGTGATGGGCTTGCAGCAGGTATGAGTGATGGGCTTGCAGAAGGTATGAGCGATGGGCTTGCAGCAGGTATGAGTGATGGGCTTGCAACAGGTATGAGTGATGGGCTTGCAACAGGTATGAGTGATGGGCTTGCAACAGGTATGAGTGATGGGCTTGCAACAAGTATGAGTGATGGGCTTGTAGAAGGTATTTGTGATGGGTTTGCAGCATGTATGGGTGATGGGCTTGTAGAAGGTATGAGTGATGGGCTTTTAGCTGGTATGAGTGATGGGCTTGCAGCAGGTTTGAGTGATGGGCTTGCAGCAGGTATGAGCGATGGGCTTGCAACAGGTATGAGTGATGGGCTTGCAGAAGGTATTTGTGATGGGCTTGCAACATGTATGGGTGATGGGCTTGCAGCAGGTATGCGTGATGGGCTTGTAGCAGGTATGAGTGATTTGCTTGCAGCAGGTATAAGTGATGGGCTTATAGCATGATGGGCTTGCAGCAGGTATGAGTGATGGGCTTGCAACAGGTATGAGTGATGGACTTGCAGCAGGTATGAGTGATGGCTTGCAGCAGCTATGAGTGATGGGCTTACAGAAGGTATTTGTGATGGGCTTGCAGCATGTATGAGAGATGGGCTTATAGATGATATGTTGGCTCTGCATGAACCTCCTTCTCTTATTCAATCACTTTCCCATCCTCTGCATACGTGGTTGTCTATACAACTGGCCATCGTTTATTAGGTAGAAGTGCCTTCATGCAGTGGTTATGTCAAACCAGCACCTAACCCTCCCCCGTGCCACTTGTATGCTTGCTATGGTCATGACCCTACCCTAAACCCTAATTCCAGCATGCAGAATGCATATACCCTGCTGTGGAACCCGAGCGCTCCACATCACTTCATGCCTTGGTTCATTCCGTCCCCTTTACAAGCAATTCTGATAGACCACTGGTTTCAGCTGCTCCGCCAGCTGAGCCGTTGGTCAACCCGCCTGTCACTGTATGCAGTTACCAGCAGCATTACTCTTGCGGGTCGACTAGTGCTGCTGGGAGTGATAAATGTGATGCTACTGGCGGTGGTAGTTGTGGTAGTGCTGTCCAAGATTGTGGTGCATCTTTTGCTCACTGAATCTCATCATCAAGAGTAGGTGGCATGGGTGCATGATGCCATGTGAAACTGGCGGCTACTGCGATGACGAGGATTGATGAGTCGATAACGAGATTGATGACCCAGTTACAAGACTTGGGTGATGATAGTGAGGGAGCATAGATGGAGTGAATCATGGCAGCACTGACAAAAGCATACGGTATGTGATTTTTGGAAGTTATTTGTGGGGTAATTAGGATTGCTAATATCAAATGCATTTTTGGAAGAAAACAAACAGCACAGGTGGAGTTAAGGTTTGGCCACTGCATCAACAGTGTGACATACATCAACAGTGTGACATACACGCGATAGATGAACGTTGGGCTATTATGGCTCGGAAAGGTGGCTCTTGGTGCGGGGGCAACTCGGGAGTGGTTTGGTATGAAATTATAGGCCGAACCAAACTGACGCGTGGCCCTCGGGATGTCCTCGCTAAGGTCATACTACATTAAGGAATTCTAATTCCTTACAACAATGCTCACGTTGGTCCCTTCCTCTCGCGAGTTTGGAGGAGGAAGGCAAAAGGTAGGTTGTGTAAGGAAGTTTCCTTCTCCTTACCGGGGTTGACTACTACGCGTACAACCCCAACATTTCGGACTTTGCACGTTCGGCCGACATCCACGATGTCGGGGCTCCCCCGCGTCGCCTTCGGCTTTCCGTCGCCAAACCTGCACCCAACCTCGTTTCCCGAGGTTCTCTCCTAGCTAGGTTAGTCACTATATAGTTGCGTGTCTTCATTGTATTGAGAGATCATTAAGTCACACTCTCATTACTCTTTATTCCGCGCACTCTCTTTAACAACTCATAACACCTGGTATCAGAGCTACTTTCCTGGTTCACCCCGCTTTTCGAGGGTAGTTTGGTGGCACGTCTTGACTCGTATAGTGGACTTCAAAACGGTTGGCTGCAAGGTTCGTTGATTCTAACCTGCCCGACTCCGATAGTTTTTGCTTTCCACTCGCCTGAAGGCCACGGATACCCCTCTGCCCACCAGTTGAAGCGTGCGACTCATGGACCAAGAAACATTAAACAAGATGTTGGCGCAAATGGCAGAGCTACAGGCAGCAGTGCGGAACCACTCGGCAGAAGTGACAACACTACGTGAAGAACCGAGCTACGCTTGACGCGAGGTGAACCGCGTCAGGGGCCGCCCGATGACGAAGGCGAGGGCAACAGTCAAACGATGAGCAATCCGTTGGACGCGCTCACACGTGACTTCAAAGAAGAAGATAGGCAGCGAGCGGCAACGACGCCAATTGCAGTTACGATGATCAAGATTAAACCGGTGAACCCGCCCCAGTTCAATCCTACGTACAAGACAACTACAGTGAAGGGGTGGCTCTTCGACGTTGAAGTCTTCTTCACTGCAATGAACGTCAACGACGATGCCACGCGTATTAATTACACGGTTTCTCTTCTTCGAGGCGCGGCGCTGGATTGGTGGTGCCACACCTTGGACACGTGGACTCCGGCAGGTGTGACACATGCGGCAGACGGGACCTCGACATCGGCTAATCAAGTGGCAACCTCTATCTTCGGAGTGACCAAGATACGCACATGGAAGGAGTGGGGCGCAGCCTTACGAGATCGCTTCGAGCATGTATCCGCATCGGAGCAAGCTCGCATAAACCTACGTGCCTGGTCGCAGTTGGCATCTCTCTAGGACTACACGGCATCGTTTATGGCATTCGCTGACCAAGTGGACGATATGGCGGAAGCAGAGCGGTTAGATAAATACATCAGCGGCATAAAATACGAGTTACAGTTCGAGGTGCGCCAATGCCGCCCGGCTCTTTCCTGGAAGCTGTACGGTTGGCCGAGTCTACAGATGCGCTGATGCAGTATGCGAGGGCAGGTTCCCAGGAGGGAAACCGTTTTCGCGGCCAGAACCAACAGGCCACAATCAACGGAGTCAACGCACCTAACCGCCCCTTTAAAGGGACGTATTATAAGTGTGGGGAAATAGGTCACAACATGAGCGACTGCCCCGAGAAAACGCCGGCGAACGGGAACGGCATCAGGGAGCAGGGAAATGGGAAGAGTCAGTAATTAACGGGCCCCTTACTGACTGTGCTCCGTCGCCCGAACACCGACATCCCCATCGAGTAGTGGTTCCGATTTATGCAATCGATCGCACTCGGCCGATAACGGGGATAACCATGTGGATCACCCTGTGCTGGTTATTGGCACAGTGTTAAAAAATCATCTGAAAATGTTTGTCAATGGGTGGGGCCAGCCATAGCCTCTTCAATCTGGCAACAGCAAAAAAATGCAAGCTGCAACTTGACAGGTGTCTGCCCGAAATCGACGCCTACCTCGTGGATGGGACGCCTCTGGCGATTTTGGAGGAAACACGGACGGTGCGGATGGAGTGCGGCGACGTTTTCGGCTTCAGCATGAAGATTCCCGCTACAACGCTAGACGACTGCGACGTGCTACTGGGACGTGATTGGCTGCGACGTCACAACCCTGTCATCGACTAGACAACGGGATCATGCAGCATCAGCAAGCACGAGGGGCTAATTAAACTGCGTGCATGGACACCTGACTACATCCAAGCCCCGTGCGTCAAAGCTATCACAATTGCTCGCCACTTCAACCGAGGCGCACAGCTGTTCGCTGTATGTTTGCGCGAGATGGCAACCAACACCGAAGGACAAGACATTGAGAAGCTGTGTGCAGCTGTACTGTCAGAACATTATAGCTTACTTATTTGTGTAGGCTATAGTGGGGTATCCCATAGGGGGTACAACCCAATTAGGGTTTCCTATATGTACTCACTTCATTCATAGTCATTCCATTCTCGTTCTCATTTTCTCATGGAATCAGAGCAGGTCCCCTAGGGACTGTTCCTAGGGCCCACCGAAGCGCGCCTCGAGTCGCGCTCTCTCTTTTTTTTTAGCGACCCGTCGTGTCGCCTCCTAGCGGCCTGTCGAGCCGCCCTACCTTGCGGCCCCGCCGCCCCATCGCGCGGCCTCGCCGCCCTACGTCGACGGCCCGCCCGCCGCCCTACATCGACGGCCCGCCCGCCGCCCTACGTCGCGGCCCCGCCGCCCTACGTCGCGGCTCCGCCGCCCTACGTCGCGGCCCCGCCGCCCTACGTCGACGGCCTGCCCGCCGCCCTACGTCGACGGCCCGCCCGCCGCCCTACGTCGCGGCCCCGCCGCCCTACGTCGCAGCCCGCCCGCCGCCCTACTTCGACGGCCCGCCCGCCGCCCTACGTCGCGGCCCCGCCACCCTACGTCGCGGCCCGCCCGCCGCCCTACGTCGCGGCCCCGCCGCCCTACGTCGCGGCCCGCCCGCCGCCCTACGTCGCGGCCCCGCCGCCCTACGTCGCGGCCCGCCCGCTGCCCTACGTTGACGGCCCGCCCGCCGCCCTACCTGCGGCACGCCTACCACCCTACCTGCGGCACGCCTGCCGCCCTACCTACGGCACGCCTGCCGCCCTACCTGCGACACGCCCGCCGCCCTACCTGCGGCACGCCTGCCGCCCTACCTGCGGCTCACCCGCCGCCCTACCCACGACGCCGCGCCGCCCTGAACCAGCGCCACCGAGCCGCCTGACCGCCGGGTTGCCTAGCAGCCGAGCCGCCGGGCCACCCAGCAGCCGAGTCGCCGAGCCGCCGAGCCGCCCAGCAGCGGAGCAGCTGAGCCGCCGAGCCGCCCAGCAGCCGAGCCGCCGAGACGCCCAGCAGCCGAGCCACCGAGCAACCGAGCCGCCCAGCAGCCGAGCCGCCCAGCAGTCGAGCCGCCGGCCACCGAGCTGCCCTACTTCCAGACTGCCCGTTTTGCCCAGTCTGGTGAGCATAGAGCCTTTTTCACTGCACTGCCCTCACCCTACTGCTTGCACTGCTAGCCGTCTGTCGTCATGGCCACCCCTAGTGTCCTAGCTTTTGATGCTGAGGTCTGGGTCGACGACCTGCAGCTGTACTTGCAGTGCGATAGGGTAGACGACATTTCTCTCTTTGACCTTACCTCAGGCGCTGTCCCTGCCCCTGCTGCTGATGCTGACCCCACTGTTCGCTCCAAGTGGGCCACTCGCGATGCTGCTGCACGTCTTGCTGTGCGTCGCCACCTCCCTACCTCTGAGCGTGCACACTTTAGTCAGTACAAGAGTGCTCAGACCTTGTACGACGGTGTAGTTGCGCGCTACTCCTCCCCTGCACTGCTGCACTGAGCCGTCTCATGCTACCGTACCTCTTCCCTGACCTAGCTGACTTTCCCACAGTCGCTGACCTCATTACGCACCTCCGCACTAGTGACACTCGCTACCGCGCTGCGCTTCCTGCTGACTTCTGCGCCAAGAAACCCCCCCCCCCCCATGTACATCACTCTCTACTTTATAGTCACTCGTCTCCCTGACTGCCTTCGTGTAGTTAGGGACCACTTTCTCTCGGTCTGTCCCACCACTCTCACTGTAGACCTCCTCGAGAAG